ATTATTTCTACAGACGATAGTGTTAGCCAATGTTGAGCTTGCACTTGATGAGGTAGAAAGGAAACTGATATTCAAACTGTGCCGTTATGTCCTAGCTATTCTGCTCGCTATCTCGCACACTATGTCTCTGTATCTGCCGCTCTTACTAGGTCGACTTAATGTCGCTGCGCTACCATTCGCCACCACTCCGATGACGCGCTTCCTGTCTGTTGGTAATTGCAAGCTTCTTCACCCATCTTTGCAAATCCTTCATCTGTCGACTGTCCTCTTATACACATGCAAACAGTCGCCGACATCAACTTGATCTGACATGTCGTGCCGCACATCGTGACTCTTCATCCCGATCTTCAACAGATAGTGCAAGCAGGGGGTGTCTGCCATTGCGGACGGGATGCTAACGTATCTCGTGAGCCGATGATTCAATCGAAAAGAATATTCCGACAAAGTGATTAATCGCCTTTGCCTTGCATATGAAGAAGTGAAGCCATAATTCGGCATCGGATGAATCAAGCATGCGAGTTCAACGGATTCCTCAACATATCGAGAGAACGTCATTTTAACATAGTTTAACACTCCGAGCGCGGTCCATCAGGCACAAGCGTTAATGTCCTCTTGATAGAAACCGAATACAGCGAGCTAAGAGCGCGATCATTCTACATAATCGAAACAGGTCTAACGAGTTTATAATTACAAATAGGTCTAATGAGATTATGCAGAGCGCGTATAAAGCGTGATCATTCTACACAATCAAAACAGGTCTAATGAGCGTGTAATCAAAAACAGGTCTAATGAGAATATGTAGAATGATCGCGCTCTTAGCTCGCTGTATTCGGTTTCTATCAAGAGGACATTAACGCTTGTGCCTGATGGACCGCGCTCGGAGTGTTAAACTATGTTAAAATGACGTTCTCTCGATATGTTGAGGAATCCGTTGAACTCGCATGCTTGATTCATCCGATGCCGAATTATGGCTTCACTTCTTCATATGCAAGGCAAAGGCGATTAATCACTTTGTCGGAATATTCTTTTCGATTGAATCATCGGCTCACGAGATACGTTAGCATCCCGTCCGCAATGGCAGACACCCCCTGCTTGCACTATCTGTTGAAGATCGGGATGAAGAGTCACGATGTGCGGCACGACATGTCAGATCAAGTTGATGTCGGCGACTGTTTGCATGTGTATAAGAGGACAGTCGACAGATGAAGGATTTGCAAAGATGGGTGAAGAAGCTTGCAATTACCAACAGACAGGAAGCGCGTCATCGGAGTGGTGGTGAATGGTAGCGCAGCGACATTAAGTCGACCTAGTAAGAGCGGCAGATACAGAGACATAGTGTGCGAGATAGCGAGCAGAATAGCTAGGACATAACGGCACAGTTTGAATATCAGTTTCCTTTCTACCTCATCAAGTGCAAGCTCAACATTGGCTAACACTATCGTCTGTAGAAATAATTTGTCACTCTTGAACTATTCGTCCAGGTAAGTATTGACATATATTCTGCCGCCTGAACAACCGTCATTGGGCACAAATAGATATCCTCTAAGCAATCGCAGCTTCACGTCCGTCACACCTCATCTCATCTCCAAGTCGTAGTGCCGATAGCGCGGTCGAACAGGAAGTCGTTCTGTCTACCGACCGGATTTCGTTATCCACCCACCACCTGTATGTAATACGTAGATTTCTGAAATAATTCATTAACTTTTCGTGCTCCTGAATAGTTAAATAAGAACGATCATCCCTCAAAATTAAATGTTAAATTCATTGCAAAGAATGCATCTACAGTTTATCATCCGTACACGCTCATTTTGTACATTTCTTTCGATATATTACCATGTTTCTAAACACCTGTTTGTCTAATTTAGTAATTGATAAAAACGTCAGGACGACGACATTGTTTAACTATCGCACAAGATATAGACATTGATTAACTATCGCACAAGACATAGACATAGATTAGTACGTGCTTAGCTCATATGTATATGACACATTGAAGCAAATAAGTCTACTGAATCCGATAAACCTTTGCACTTAATTCTTGTAGATGCCATTCTCTTCCATTTCATGACAATCTTCGATGGAACCGCACGAATAGTTATCAATTACAAGTGCGTTGCCAACATCTTGCGGTAAATGGTGCATTTTGCCAAAGTATAGAAATTCTGCTTTACCCAATTATGTTCGCAACTTCATGTCCAATCTCATGGGTAAGATTTTGGTGTATTTGTCTTTCATTACATTTCATAAGTCGCAGTTAACTTCGAAAACGTGCTGCAGAGTGACTTTGTCTGCACCAGAGTTATTTTGTCGCGGATGTGGTGATACATGATGTCAATGTATTGGATCTACTAGGTACTTGGTCATGTTGATGCATGAATTAAATCTTCGACAATCTCGAGGTCAGCTATTACAATACCAACAGCGATCAATGCCTCACTAATACGTAGGCGATGAATCCGTTTAGCTTCTCATATAACAAGGCTTAGCACCGTATCATCAGCTAGACCTGTCCATAGTGAAATAGTTGGCTGCTTCTCGCTCTCCCATCTGACGGGACCATAAGCAACTTAAAAAGCATACTACGATGGTGAATGTTGGTCTGTAATTCCATTATCTGAACCCCAGTACGCGCCTGATAAGAACATAGTGTGAAGGTTAAAACTTGATTCCACAAATCGAGCTACCATTCCAACAGCATTCGTGATGTCAAGTCGAGTCCTCTTTTAAAGTTTATAACTGCACCAACGTCTCCCCAGTTCGTGGGTTGTGTAAGCTGTAGTATGATCTTTTTAATGTCGCAGGCTATCGACACTAGATTGGACTCTTCATTCCATACCGCTACACAATTTCCTTATTGTAGCGCCACTGGCACAGGGTGACGGCGTTGTCATGTTTGATCAGCTCAATGACAAAAACATTGCACGCTTCATTGTCTGTTAGCCCAAACGATACTTGGGTGTAGAGTAATTGGAGGCAAAATCCAAAGTAAATACATACATATTTAACGTCCTTATTTCACTACCATGAGCTATCTATGAGCCTATATGTAACGATGTTTCATGACAATCCTTGAACTACCATGAAACTCCCTGACGATTTATCCTATAAATCATCATCCTAACAACATGAAACGTACCTGTTCAATGGTGTAATATCAACACTACCACTCACCGCTACTGCTAAAAGACCTTGAGTGGATACCGTTCGCATCGCGCAGGAACTTGAACGTGTTGCGTCCTAAAGCCTTGGTCAGTATGTCGGCCAACTGATGTTTGGTGTTCACGTATGCTAGCGCAACCGTTCCGGCTTCGATCATCTCTCTGATGAAGTGATGACGGATGTTCACGTGCTTGGTCCGAGCATGACACACATCATTCTGAGCAAAGCAATTGCGCCTTGATTATCCTCTCAGATCCTAGTAGCGTTCCTTTCTACCATTCCCATGTCCGTCAGCATTGCACGCGTCCACAGCACTTCCTGAACATATAAGCTTAAAGCCATGTAATCAGCTTCCGATGAGCTGAGGGCAACCGTTCGTTGAAACTTAGACTTAAACACTACGGGAGCGTCCTTAATCAAGACTATGATACCCGTGACAGAACGCTTGTCGTCGAGATTAGATCCCCAGTCCGCATCTGAGTAAACTTCAGCTGCGCTGCTATTAGTACCACCTATGTAGATGATCCCGTGCAGGCGGGTCGTCTTTAATTAGCGTAGAACACGTACATTAGCACAGACGAAGGGCGCAACTCGAATTTAGGTCATGTTCGCCACTGTAGAGTACGTTTTAAAGAAGTCCACTTCGTACTTCTGCTTGAAATCTTTCGCCATTAGTCGCGTTTTGAAGTGCACCACGCGACCGTTCTGGTCACGTTTCTTGGCTAAAACCTGCCTGCACTGAAGGGTACGGATGGCCGTTGTGTTGTATTAATGTCCATGTATCGTTCCGTTTATTGTGAGAGCAGTTCAGCATTCATGGCTTCACGCCACTGCATAGCATCTTCACTGTAGGAAGATCCACTGCGTCAATGCTTGCTGCGCACGCAAGAACGGCTTCAGCAATTAAGCCATCGTCATCTATCCTGGCACGCTTTGTAGAGGACGGTCCATCACTTCCTTCCGACTTCCGTTCTTGCTCGGCGTCTGTTCCATCTTCAAGAAGGAAAAGGGGTTCGCAAGAACGTCTGGAACGGTTAACCGGGGTATGGAACACCACTTGATCTTCCTCGAAGTTAGTAGGTGGTTCACGGTACTGTTTCGGATCAAATCTATTCGGAGCCAACCGTTCTTTTGGCATCAGCAGCGTAAATACACCGTTTTATTCCAGTTGCATGCTCTTCATCTCTATGTCCGATGCGTCGCTCTCAACGCCTTCAATTAATTCCGCTTCAACGGTTTAATGTTTTAATGGCGCGAGCGTGACTACTTCATCGGCGTCTGTGGTAACATGAATGACTGTTCCATTATGAGCCGGTTGTGTAACGTAAATACCACCCACCTCACGCTCGTCCAGCATTACTGAGCGAGACACTTTGATCTTGGAGGTGTACAAGTCATAGACACGGTAGCCCTTGACGTTTTCTGGGTACCCAAGCAGCACACCTTAAACTCTTAGATCTAAGCTTTGTCCTCTTTGCCTTGTCGATATGAGCGTAGCCGCAAGACCAAAAAAACGCTTAGGTTATCTAACGTAGGCTTTACTATAAAACCCAGCCCAAACGGTGTCACAGCTGCGTTTTGCATGTTCGTGGAACGGTTAATCTGATAAACCGCAGTATTGACTGCTTCAGCCCACCACTTCATTGGGACGCCCTTGTAGTGTAGCATGCTTCGGGATTTCTCCATGATGATACGGTCCATCTGTTCTGCTACTTCATTCTGCTGGGGATATACGGGACAGTCCGTTGATGCACGATACCATTCAGCATACATATCTTCGTCACCTCTTGGTTCACAAACTCCGTTCCGTTATTCGATCGTAAACACTTAATGCGTTCTCCCTATTGTTTCTCATAGACCGTCTTGAACTCTCTTAGCTTGACGGCCACCTCGCTCTTCCCTTTCAATAAATAGACCACAAAGTAGCGCGAGTAGTCATCCACGAACGTCAGGGCATACTTTGCACCGCCTTTGGATGGATTCTTCAAGGGCCCCATCACATTCGTGTGGACGAGCTTAAGAACGCGCGACGTTTTCGAGATGGAAAAATGCGGAAATGTAGTTAATAAAGACTGGGTCGGCTGGTCAATAGCCGGGATACCGTTTGTGGCATACGTGTCTTATTCAAAGCGTCTTGGTGGGATGCCCCGTGCGAGCGTGCCAAATCTCCCACTTGTTGCCATCCTCATCGTATTGAATAAATCGAGGTTCTTCTTGTTCACAGTCCAACATGTACCTCTTGCCACCTTCTTACCCTCTGCAATTGCGCTAGCCATACCCCATATAACACATGAGGAGCGCAGAAACTCCTCGTTTAGGCCACGATCCGCGAGCTTTCCCACTGACAACAGATGCCGATCGAGGCCTGGGATTTGAACAACTTCAACCACAAAAATTCGTTTACCGTCCATGTAATTAAGCGTACCGTACCACATCCAGTGACCTGCAGCTTCTTTCCGTCAGCGATTGTTACTTCAATGCCACCGTTCATGTTATCATACACGAACAGATCAGAGCGGTGCAAGGTCATGTAGGCGATCGCTCCGCTGTCGATCAGCCATCTGTTTACACGTTCTGAGCTTACAGCAAATACCGCATCGTCATCGCTATCTGTTGCCCGTTCTTGGCAGTCCCGCTTCATGTGCCCTACTTTGTTGCATTTGAAACACTTGCCTCGAAACCACTAAACTTCTTATTTGGACCGCCCCACTTGTGACCGCTCCCCTTATTTTTTTTAAAATCTTCCGGTGTTGACCTTAAGTGCTCGTTCTGGAGTCGCATCCTTTTTCTACAATCGTTCACACTCCTTCAACAGCTTCTCTTTCAATCGTTAAGCGTGATGTCCTTGACGTTCTCGTTGATAGATGATACCAGCTCGCATTCGGCTGGAAGGCTGCTCAGTAGCACTACCAGCTGCCGTTCCTTGTCGACAGGCTCGCCAAGCGTCTGAAAAACGACAACAAGCTCGTCTAAGGCGTCCAAATGCTTTTCCATGGCCGTTCCAGCATCCATCTTGAACTCGTGGAGGCGCCATGTCATCTTGACCCAACTGTGTAGTGTATTTCGATTATAGAACTCCCTAAACATTACCCACGCTTGAATCGCACGCGTCGATAAGCGGATCTTTGTATGGTGTCGTAGCTCCAAACCCTGAGCGATGATGCCGAGAGCCGTTGCGCCGTTTACTAGTCAAGCTGCCTGTATCACTCTCTCCTCCTTGAACACCTCCACGTGCGCCAGCAGACCTATTCTGGCGAGGGTCATCATCATATTAAACTCCTAGTACAAATAATTTCCACTTCTCAGGAAGACTTCGGCGCGCTTGGTATTCGTCGTGTGCATTTTTTGCGAGGTGAAAGCGTCCTTTGGCCTTGATGCAGCTAGCAGAGCTGCGGTTGTTAACCTGTAGAGTAGTTGGAGGCAAAAGCCGAAGTAAATATATTGAAGTTCCTGAGTTCACTACTACGAACTATCTCTAAGCCTTTATGTAACGCTGCTCCATGAAAATCCTCTTAAACTACCATGAAACTCCCTGGTGCTTTATCTTATAAATCATCATCCTAACGACATAAAACGTACCTGTTCAGCGGTGTAATATCGACATTGAGCACGAACTTGACTTAACGCATCCTCTCGACCAAGTTTCTAGTGATTACCACGTCGCCATCGCATATGAGGAGAAATGTACAGTTCTGTCACAGCACACTATGTACGTACATGGATCAGATTGGATAGTTTAAAGCCTATAGAACGCGCAGAGTCACCAAACATCTGATTCCACTACGACAAGATTTCTTGAGTGGGTAAATAGACTTAAGGGGATTCAGACCGACACTTTGCGGATCAATCTCCAAACAGTCGGCAATCAAAATGCAGACAAGTTTTTCAGCTCACTGTTGACAAAATCAGTGACGACGTCAAGCTATTCAATCGTCCATTCGAGCTTTTCTGCTGACTCGATTATCATGCTTAAAAATTACGATATTTACACACGGGTCATTGTGTTAGTTTATCCACATTCATCATTGTTTTGAAACTCGTTGGTGAAGAGTCGTGCTTTTAGCTTGTAGATTAATCCATTAGCGCCACGTTAGTTTTATACAACCATTTGGTGTCACCATCACGGCCCGTATGTTACTTGGAAATCTATCAGCACAAAATAGATTGCGAGGTGATTTTGGCTTAGAGGCTTTGCGCCAATGTACTGGCATAGCCATTTACGACTTCCTGATAGATTGAAGGTACGAACGAGTCACAAAGTTGAAGCCTGTTCGCACTTGCATGCCACAAATCTGTGAGTTTAACCCCTTACCGAGTCTATTATCAAATTAGTCATCGTTATCAATATTTTAACATTTCTGTGCGAAACAGCGTTGTTGGGCGCAATATTAGGCGACGGTCAGGACCATTAGCGCGTTTGTGTTCCGAAATGTAGACAGATATGCCTGCTTCTAACACTTATATCATCGGGATGAACAATGATGCCGACCACCTTTTTCCAGGCTATAAAGATAACCTCTTCCATTGACAGAATCAGTAAAATTGATCTATCGACTGATCCCAATTTTGCCTCCGTCTGTAACGGGGTGAATCGTTACATAACAATTTATAAGAAATCGTTAATAGAATATAACTATAAGAGTTATACTCTCAGAATATTGTCATAAGGACAAATATTCTGTAGCACTTACGAGTAGTTCCTAATTGGTTGATATAGGCCATCATATCAACCAACGAAGACGCGCCACGACAGACGCACGCAATGAGTGATGAGCAGATAGTTGATATGCACATTTGTATTCAGACATAGTTAGGTGAGGATAGAAAATGATTTATTGCAGACATTTACAATACTAAATACAGTTCTGCTTTTTGCTTTAACCAATTACTCGCTTCTTCTTACCGTCTTCCTCTGCACGTACGAGTGTACGTGAAGTTCCGAGGCACCGCCTTATTCTGTTAATAGAATAAGTAGCTTGTACTGTCACCAATACAAGCTTCAGGGTGCCCCGTTACACCTGGTAGCACTTCGTAGTCCGTCCAAGGACCACGTTCACATCTAACATGAATATGTTGGATGATGAAGATGACCAAAGCTTTCACGCTACGCGTGACGGCTATTCCAATTTGAGCGATGTCGAATGGGATGCGGTTGAACGGATGGGTTAAACCATGGGCATCCATGCTGTTAGCGTCATGCTAGAGGCTCTCAATAGAGATGCCCAACATGCTACTATCGCCAAGTTCATTCAAAATGAACTTGACGCTGAACGCGAGAAAGTAGCCTTGCTTCACCAACAAGGTTCTCAACAAGCAGAGTTGTTGAGAGAACAAGGTGCTCAACAGTTTGAACTGTTGAGACAGCAGCAGGCTGCTGCTGGTGGGTCGATGCACTCGCGTCGACCCGAAACCTTGAAGATTGACATCTCCAAGTATAGGGGGGTCGAAGAGGACTCCCTCTTGAGATGGTTCGTCGAATTAGACGACGCCATAAGGGCGCGTCGCATCGACGACGGGGATATGCAAGTTGCATTTGCCCAGTCAAATCTGGCAGGACGTGCCAAGACTTGGGCACTGGGGCTCAAGTTGCACGGCCCATATGCGTTTGGGTCGTTAGAAGTCTTCAAGTCGCGTCTCAGACAAGCGTTTGAACCGCCTAGAGCTGAGTTCAGAGCCCAAACCGAGCTCTTGAAGCTCAAACAGGGTAAGCGTGATGTGCACGGTTACGCACAGCCTATACGACATCTCACGAGTTGTATAAGTTCCAACCCGGTCGATGAACACACGTTGGTTTCGGTGTTCATGCAGGTTCTTGCGGATGGTCCCGTCAAAACTCACCTGTTCCGACTTGAACTAGATTCACTAGAACAATCCATTTCCATTGCGGAGCAGGAAGACTTCAGTCTGACACAGGCTCGCGCCAGCTCGATATCATATCATCAACCGAGACGATATGACAGCGGAGGTCCAGAGCCGATGGAACTCTGTTATGTAGAGAGCGAGAAGGCTCGCTCTACAGACTACAAGAAGTTGCAGAAATGCAACAGATGTCAAAAGACAGGACACTACGCTTACGAGTGCAGTGCCCCTCGTCCAGTGTCTCGCGACACTGGGCGTAACGACCGTCCACCCATGAGAAAGGGGCAGGGAAGCGGGTCCGCTGTTGGTGCAAAGACGCAACAACGGGATGGACCGTCAAAAAACGGACAGGATCAGTAGATGCGGAGAACCCTACTGGTCCAGCAACGTCAAGAGAATTTGTGGGCCTCCTGATGAAGGTTGCTCCCAACACACAAACGTTGTGCGTTGCTGCTTTAGGTAATGAGATCTCACTCATTACCTTGAAACTCGAAGTGACAAATAAGTTGTCCCTTCGAGCTCTAATCGATTGTGGGGCGTCCAACAATTTTGTGCGACGCCAATCGCTAGAAGATGGTCACTTTAAGTTCAGTGAATGTGACACACCTCCTACGAGGATGACGGTACGTCTTGCGACAGGCGCATCCGTAACCGTCATGAAGCGTATAGTGAAGATTCACTATACGCTAGAAGATACCCAATATGACGATGACTTTATCGTATTGGATTTGGATGACAAATTTGATGTCATCCTTGGAATACCGTGGCTCAGAAGGTACGAACCACGGGTAAACTGGCAACATCGAACAGTAACGATGCCTGCCGCTTGTTCATCGGATGGCCATCTGATGAACGTTTTGGAGCGTCCACAAGCGTGTGGATGTACTACTAGTGAGTGCGATGGCCTCACTTGTGGTACGGTCGTTAGTACGACTGCACAAAACCTTAGTGTACCAAACGGTTACACTTCGGAGCAAAGTTCCGGCGGCTGTGAGGAAACACAGGCTGCGCCGAAGGTCCACCACTCGAATAAGTCGGGTGGACTGGGACAAAGATGTATCCCTAGCGGGGAACATCTAGAAGAGAAACAATCGATCGCTCAGGTTAAGCGAAACGATAATCATAGATCGACTGGAGAGTCTTTCGTAGAGGATCTCGCTGTGGTTGCGCAACCCCAGCTAGAGGAAGTAAAGGGAATAAGTCCCGATATTACAAATACGGCGGAAATAAGTTCCCCGAAACCCGCGGGAATAAGTCCCCGGGAAGCCGAAGGAATAAGTCCTTCAAAGCCTGAGGGAATAAGTCCCCAGGAAATGACAGAGACATTGAATGTCATAGTCAATAACGGATCAAGTGTAGGCGCTTACACACTTGATCTGATTGCGCCTCCAAAGTTGACTTTGGAGATCACTCAGTTGACAACGCTTGAACATAAAAGGTTCTTGCGTGATCTGCGTAGTGGCAAAGTCAAGCAGATCTGCGTACTCGTCGCTGACGACGAGTGTGTAACCGACATAAGGTCAGCAACAGTGTTTGCTGAGAACGAGAGAGTTCTCAGTAGTTCATCTATGGACGAGAGTGTCCTAGATGAAAAGACACGAGTTGAGCGATATGACTCTGAATCGTGGGAATCGCTCAAGACAAATCCTCTCTATGAAGATTTGGTTGAATTCAAGGATGTATTCCCTGAAACTGTTCCGTGCGAATTACCGAAGGACAAAGGTATTCGACTCGAGGTCGAGCTCAAACCAGGCTTGAAGTACTGTGTCATGAAGCAGTGGCCACTGCCTCGTGAACAAGTACTTGCGATCGACAAGTTCTTTGCCGATCGTTTAGCTGCGGGCCATGTGAGGGAATCAACTTCCCCACATAGCTCTCCGACCTCCTGTGTGCGAAAAGCAACAGGAGGGTGGCGGATCGTACATGCATTTAACAAGTTGAATGCTGCAACGGTACCGGCTCAGACGCCGATACCGAGGAAGGACGTAATCGTTGATGGTATGTCAAAGAGCACCATCTTTTCGTCCATGGATTTGATGGATGGCTTCTATCAAATCCTTATGCGAGAACGGGATATACCCTATACCGCAGTTAGCACGCCTAGCGGCATGCTCTGGGAGTGGCTAGTAATGCCACAAGGGCTTAATAATGCCCCTGACACGTTCAACAGATGTGTATCACATCTATTGAAACCAGTACGAGAATTCGCGCCGAGTTATTTCGATGACGTATTCATCCATAGTCGAGCTATGGATGGAAAGTCGGATGTTGAGGTTCACAGGTACCACGTCCGACAGGTTCTTACAATCATGCTAAAGCATCAATTGTATGCAAACCTCAAGAAGTGTATATTTGAAGCAAGCGAAATACCACTTCTTGGGTGCATCGTTGGTAAGAACGGAGTACGTCCTGATCCCGAAAAGATCAAGGCGATCACCGACTGGCCTGTGCCGGTTGATGTCAAAGGTATTCGAAAATTCCTTGGGCTAGCGGCGTATTTGCATAAGTATTCACGCAATTACGCCGAGATGACTGTACACCTCTCTCGTTTGTTAAAAAAGAACGAGAGGTGGTTATGGAACGCTTAATGTCAGCGCTCCTTTGATGATATCAAGCAGAGCTTGATACAATCCCCAGTCCTAGCAATTTACGATCAGGACAGACCATTTCATGTGGTCTGTGATGCCAGCGATTTCGCAATCGGCTGTGCATTAATGCAGTACGATCTTGAAGGCGTTGAACGCGTCGTCTGCTATCAGTCGCGTCAGCTGCAACCAGCTGAGCGGAACTATCCAGTGCATGACAAGGAACTCCTTGCCATGAAGTATGTACTCGCGAAGTTCAGAGTCTATCTATTAGGAGATATACCCTTCATTGTTTACACTGACCAAGCGTCATTACGCACGGCAGTGAACAGCCCGCACCTTTCACAACGAATGGCGCGGTGGTTGTCATTCTTTGCAGAATACAACTTCACGGTCGAGTACAAACCAGGATGACTTAATGTCGTCGCTGATGCACTCTCACGTCGTCCCGACTTTGAAACAGTCGTGAAACCAAACAGTGAGACAGTCACTGTTGCGGTTATGACGTCCTCAGTCCCATCTACAACGTTGTATGATGATGTGAGGCGGGCATACGCCCAAGATGGTGAGATCGTGAAGTTGTTGACACATCTCTCACAACCATCTCGAGAATCGTTGAAACGATTATCGTCTGCGTATCGATCTGCATCAGATCGATACACTACTCGCAACGGTTTACTGTATTATACAGCTGTTTCTGGTGACACACCACGTGTTGTCATTCCAGATGATACTGATCTGCGTTTGCGGATCATGTTCGAGCATCACGATGCTCCGATAGGAGGACATCGTGGCCGGGAGAAAACATATCTCACGGTGAGTCGAGATTTTTACTGGCCCCGCCAGTATCAGTTTGTGCGAAAGTATGTTCGCGCATGCGAAGTCTGTCAACGAGTGAAGTCAAGTCCTTTACTGCGTGCACCTTTACAGCCTCTAACATTTCCGGCAGAGTGCTAGGAATCCATCTCAATGTATTTCGTCTTCGGGTTACCCAAAGACGCACGCGGGAATACGGGTATTCTCGTATTTGCTGACAGATTCAGCAAAATGGTACACCTTGTGGCTGTACCCGAGTCAATCACAGCAAGTGGCTGTGCTTGTGTCTTTATCGGCACCATCTTCCGACTTCATGGGTTGCCCCGCGAACTCGTATCAGACAGAGACCCACGATTCACTGCTGATTTCTTCCGTTCCGTGTTCAAATCACTCGGAACGCGCTTGAAGATGTCGACATCTGATCATCCAGAGTCAGATGGTCAGACGGAACGTGCCAATCGTGTCCTCGAAGAGATACTTCGAGGGTACGTACACTCCTTTAAGAGTTGGAGTGAGTTCTTGCCAATGGTAGAGTTTGCCATTAACAACTCGGTGCATGCGCCCACGACACATACACCGTTTTACGTGAATGGCTTACGCCATCCGCGTGTACCCACCTTACTAGAGTGTAACTCTGGTTTAAGGGGGGGAGGGACTCGCGCGATCACGAAACGATTTGGTTCACGCTCATCACGCTCTGACGAAGAAGTCATTGCGTTTGATGCCGATATCGATAACATCGATATCGAAGAAGATGATGCCAGTGAGAGTGCGGAAGCCCTCACTGAAGAAAAGATTGATGTTACTGCAGTGCACTCACAGCGCACTGAAGCTAACGAGTCATCAGATGAGTTCATACTGGCTCGTGAAACGGTAGTCCGTTTTGTGCAAGACTCCATCGCCGAAGCGGTGGATAAGCAAAAGCAAAACGCTGACAAGAATGGAAGGGCAAACACTCTTTTATTCAATAAGGGTGACTTAGTCCTACTGTCTACGATAAACCTACCAAAGCATGTAGTGACTAACTTGGGTAGTAGTAAACTTCTACCCAAATACATCGGCCCATTTCGTGTATTGCATTGCCTAGGCAATGCATACACGATCAAATTGCCACGTAAGATGCGAACGCATCCCACGTTTTACGTTGGTCGGTTGAACCGTACCATCAGTACGCTGCTTCTTCCGATGAAGAATGCCCTTGCGCTGAAGCATCTCGCAGAGAGCCTTGTGCTCCCGATGGTGGGCATCGACAAGGGTCTGAAGAGCAATTAACTCAGCCCGAGACCGCTCAACATCCCCACGAGCTACCCTTAGCTCGTCGCGCAGAGACGTCAGAGCTCTCTCGTTCTCAAGTGAGCAAAGGCAACCTCAGCTCGATGCTTCGAGGCAGTGTCCGCCAGTTGGAGACGCCTATTCCGCTCATGTTCGAGATCGCCGCGTAACCCTTGCGCTACGCGATCAAAGAAGCTCTGGGGAACACACGCTCCCCCACGATAGTTTGGAGAGCGTCTTCCCTCCTCCTCCACCTCCATTAGAGGACTCTCGCGGTGGCCAGCGCTATCTGGTTGAGGAGCTGTTGAACCACCGCGACGTGAACGGACGTCGGACGAGTTATCTCGTCCGGTGGCGCGGCTATCCCCCGTCCTGGGATACTTGGGAGCCCCGCTCCCAACTGATGATTGACGTACTGGGTCTGGTTGAGCAGTACGATGCGGCACATCCTGTGCCGCCGAAGGACCGCTGGAGAAAGTCTTCCCGGCACGGTCGTAAAGGGATTTCAGGTTGTCAATCCCTTCGTACATCTCACTAGATATACGTACGCGCCACCACGGGCTAGTAAGGAGGTAAGCCTCCTTAGGTGCGCGCGCAGAGTTGTTCACACAACATGGGCACGAGTCTTCCCATGAGAGGCAGGGTAATCCTTTCTCCTTAGACAGACGTTGCAGCTTGTAGCGTGCACCTGTCGGGGTTCGCTTTTCAAACTCATCACGAGCTTTGATAAGTTTGTCGTTCCAAACGTCACGACCTACATCCTCAAGGTTATGGATGTAGGCGTTTCACGCTTGAAGCAGTGAGGGAACATCACTTTTGTGATTCCCACTGTACCATTGGTGTTTAACGAAAGCATCAATGAAGAATTCATTCTCAGCGCGATAGTTTTTCGTGCTGGGGTCAAGGTGATGGATCCTTGACGAATCGAACAACCGTGTTCGATAACGATCACTCGTCGTCGCCGACAAGTGATCCATGACGGATTTGGGAGGCATCCATGCCTTTTTCTTCTCAGGGGCGAGACGCAAGACACTGCGGTCCCGCTCTTCTTGCGACGTGCCGACAGAAGTACTGGCACCTTGTTGCGAAGTGGTGTCAATAGGAGAACCGACACCACTGTGAGCGCCCGAGTCTCGCGACCTCGAGCGCCTTCGCTTCGGCGATGGTTCATCCGATAAATCAGATGAACCAAAGATGCTGCGACGCATAGCATCATCCATGCCACGCTTGGCAGGCGGCCTGGATTCGATCGCCGTCAATACGGATCCGTCTTCCGTATCAGTAGAGTATGAGACACCGAGCTCATACTCTGTGAAGACATGAGTGTCTTCATGACGAGTGCCTGCATCACCAGGTGACACAGGCTGAGTCGCTTCAGCAACCGATGACACATCAGTTGCTGCGGTTTCTGCTTCGGCGTCCGCACAGAGACGTGCGGACGCGCTCTCGGCGGCCTTGCTCGCGCATCGCATGGGCTTGTTAACCATGCGATGAGATGTTGGAAAGTGTACTCGGACCAACAAGTGCAAACCCTGTCCCAACTGATTTGGGACGAGTATCCATTTAGTCAATCAGTCACTAAAGTGACTGATGGTTAAGGGGGGGTGATGTAACGGGGTGAATCGCTACATAACAATTTATAAGAAATTGTTGGTAGAATATAACTATGAGAGTTATATTCTCAGAATTTTGTCATAAGGACAAATATTATGCAGCACTTACGAGTAGTTCCTAATTGGTTGATATAGGCCATTATATCAATCAACGAAGACGCGCCACGACAGACGCACGCAATGAGTGGTGAGCAGATAGTTGATATGTATATTTGTATTCAGAAATAGTTAGATGAGAATAAATAGTGATTAATTAACAGACATTAACTATTATAAGTACGTAGTTCTACTTTTTACTTTCAACAAGTACTCGCTTCTCCTTACCGTCTTCCTCTGCACGTACGAGTGTACGTGAAGTTCCGAGGCACCGCCTTATTCTGTTACCAGAATAAGTAGCTTGTACTGTCACCAATACAAGCTTCAGGGTGCCCCATTGCACCGTCTATATCATGGACTTGATAATCTCTAAAGAAGAGCTATCTTCTTCACTCATAAAGATGCCCGATCGAGAGTTAAATCTCACTTTTTTAGCGCTTCTCTGATGAAGTTAAAACTTATGCTAAGTATTCAAAACGTGTATTTGCTTTCACACTTGGATTGAGATTTTACTTCATATCAAATGGGGTTTTCGAAGGAGGCTTGGGGGCGACAGCATTTTTATATTATAAGGAGCAGTATTATAAGCTTCAGCTTAAAATGACTTCTTTAAACGCGCACGAAGAAGCCGACCAATCGCAAGGAAGTTTGAAATTGCGCGCTCCACTTTTAATTGGCTTGACGCGCGTGGAGTCTGGTCATTTGCTGTTCGATATCTAGATTCATATAAGATGATGAATCGTCTAAGTTAAACATTCTAGGCACCGTCATACGAACTAAAATCACGCGCTATCTTGCTAGTTCTTGACTTTAGTGACGACTTCTCCAGTGCAGATTCGCTTCCCAATTTATTGGCAAGGCAATATTTTAATTTCAGTCTACTTCATGTAATGACAATAAGGAGCAAGAATCTGCTACCACCGATGATCTCAACTCCCATACGACCAAGACTACTGATGAGGAGATGATAAACAAGGCTGAAGATGCGCTTGACTTTCTTAGTATTGCATGGTTTCTGGACCATCTTGACTAATGGGCAACTGTGACAAGTGGTCATTACTTGAGAAATAGTAGGGCAGTCAACAACATTAACTAGACATTTCACAGCGAAATGACGTAGCACAAAAAAGGTGCATGGAACATCCGCTCGTGCACGATTAACCCGGACTTTGACCGAGCAGCAGTCGTAGCAACCTTTTTTGTCGTACTCGTAAACACACTCAACCGGAAGGATACGTTTGTAAATCCAGAAGTTACGACCTTCTTTCATGAGCTTTTGTCCATCCTGTTTGCGTTCAATCCGTTTTACATGACCTGAGAATTTTTACCTTGTTTATCTGTGTAATCGACGAAAGTGTTCCGCCACAATTGGCACGTTCAGCACGTCGGTGAATCAGAATTTGCACACGTGTCCGTTCAAGAAATTTTTGTGCTCGTTCACTGTACCACGCCAAAGGTCTTGGTCTCGTTGCCATTTACGACATCGAAATCACCATGGTAGCCTTTCATTAATCGAGACGGAGCTTAACATACGATCACACATGTGATGTGTGGTGCCAATATCTGTCGTCAATAGTTCTTTCGTCTCTTCTTTGGCGGTCGCAACTCCGCATTCCATTGACACCACAAATACGTGCGAATATCATCTCTATCATAGTTACAGTATTGATCACGCTTAGCAAAATCACTCGCTTAATACTGCCTATTCGTCTTTCCTTACGCCGTTTTTTCTTGTTCATAAGCCACTATTTACCTCTAAGTGACCGATCCTACTAAAGAATAAGCAGACGTGAGATTTGTGACTGTTGTTAAACGCCTTTGGTGTCATATGTATTTGCAGTCTCGTCTCAACTGTGTGATTGATAAAGTAGTTGCTAAGTACATATATCGTATCCAGAATATTCACTTATGTGCTGCTCATTGGATATGCAGCACGAAAATCATACAGCTAGTCTACAATCTACACAACAGACAAATAGACACGCCTTCATCCTCCACATTCGCACCGATCTTACCAAGCTTGGATGGATGATAAGGACTCTGTTGCAGTGGTTCGAGATGTGTTGCCTTCTTTTAGCTCATTTTGAACATCTCACGCTTCAAGTTAGTGCGGTCGGACTTCTTCAATCCTTAAAATATGTTAAGACGTCACCAGAAGGCCCACGATTTCCTTTGTAGTCGTCTGCCAGACGATGGCACTAAGCATTGATGTGCAAAAGCAGCAGGCCACAATTGATCCTGTTTGTACGCACAGGTTCGTCCTGGAATCGGCTATCGGTTGGAGAAGGCGTTGATTCACGGTTCAGAAAACTGCATGACGACTTATTCAAAGGTACACCACGCGTGTAGCATGCCCATGTCGCAATTGTCGCCGTGAACTATCGATTACCAGTTTCGTTGAGTTCGACATGGTGTCAACTGTTGGACTTAGAAACTGATAATCATCAGTACGACGACGTATGATATATATCGCATAGGAGTAAGATATTGATTAAGTCGTGTTTAGCTCATATGTATATGACACATTGAAGCAAATAAGTCTACTGAATCCGTTAAACCTTTGCACTTAATTCTTGTAGATGCCATTCTCTTCCATTTCATGACAATCTTCGATGGGACCGCACGAATATAGTGCATTGCCAACATCTTGCGATAAATGATGCATTGTGCTTCAATTTAGCGGTACAACAATTCCAAAATGATATCTGACCACCACTTATTGCTGCAAACGACAAGCTGACGTAAATTTGCCTGGCTACATACAAACATGCAGCAGTTGAGGGCTATACCTTAACGATCACAAAACTTTTATTAGGTAGGCAGCACACAATTAGATTGTAGTCTGCAGAACACAGCGCGCGATCAATCGCTCTTCAGGCACGCAGGGGTCGCCTTTACTCCTCTAGCATCCCAATTGTTGGGTATGTGGGCAGTCTGTATAACGTGGTGAATCGTCACATAACAATTTATAAGAAATTGTTAGTAGAATATAACTATAAGAGTTACACTCTCAGAATACTGTCATAAGGACAAATATTATGCAGCACTTACGAGTAGTTCCTAATTGGTTGATATAGGCCATTATATCAATCAACGAAGACGCGCCACGACAGACGCACGCAATGAGTGGTGAGCAGATAGTTGATATGCACATTTGTATTCAGACATAGTTAGGTGAGGATAGAAAATGATTTATTGCAGACATTTACAATACTAAATACAGTTCTGCATTTTGCTTTAACCAAGTACTCGCTTCTTCTCACCGTCTTCCTCTGCACGTACGAGTGTACG